TGGTGTTTGTGTGTTTGTGGTATGGTGTGTGTGTGTGGTATGGTGTTTGTGTGTGTTTGTGGGGTGTGTGTGTGTGTGTGTGTGTGTGTGTGTGTGTGTGTGTGTGGTGTCCTAATGAGTTTCCTTAGGACTGTTCACAGACACAGGAGGGATCATGTGTTTACAGCAGTACTTACCAGCAACTGCACCACTGAAGAAAATGTGAATGAAGCAGCTGCTGTGTGGCGAGAGCTGTAAGTGGCTGTGTTCTAGATTTTCCTCAGTGCTTAAACAAGGTCCACCTGTCACCATTCACACCTAAAGGAGGATGTTGGTGGCACAGCCAGGCTCTAGCTGACACACTCAGGTTGTCTCCCTCCAGGGCCTCTAATTAACCCACTTCACCATGTGGCCTTACATCCAGACTTTCCATCTGCCTTAGAGTAGCTTTCTGAGAAGTTTGTGTTGAGTGAATCTGAGATCCATATCCAGGAACAGGTGAGAAAAATGCTTGTTTTTCTTGAAAAGAAGTAACAAACACATCCAGGTGATGAAAAACTGTACTGAAGACTTTTTATTCACCTAAACATAAATACATACTCTTATTTTGTGATGGACATAAACATTTACTCTCTCCAAGCCATTTCCTACTCACCACCCATTGTTAATATTGTGCCATGTGTAATTTAGAGGGGCAGGGACCAAAGGCCTAAAACTTGGCAGAACATTAAAAAGCACTTGCTTGAGTTCTTCCTGATGATGAAATCATTATCTATGCGCAGCTAGGAATCTGTGGACCAGCCCCTCACCATGGTTCCCAGGCAACCATTTAAGATTGAAAACCAGGTCTACAAGTAATACTTCAGCACATTGAGTAATTAAATGAACACTAATTCAAGGCATACGTCCAGATCTTCCTGTGAAATGACCCCACTCTCCAGTGGGGAACAGAGAAACCCCCAGCACTGGCCCTTGGAACACTAAAGTCATTCACTTCCATATCTCTTTTCTCTTTCTGTTGGGTACTTGGCATTTAAGAATCTCCAGGTCTTGACTGCGTCTGTCTGTCTGTCTCCATCAGTTTCCTCATGGCATTTCTAAGTCCAGTATAATCATATGGGGCATGGTGTGGGTAGTAGAAGAAACTGCATATATTCAAAATGATTTGACAGATCATTGAAATGAAAGATTAGGGTAACAAAATTTAAAAAACAATCATGATGATATTGTTGTCCTTTTTTTTTTTTTAACACAAGGGGATAGGTCCAACCAACAGAAAGCATAAAAGCCCCACACTCAGCCAGCCTGACATCAGATGCCACTCTGTGCCCTGCAGGGAAGCTGCAGCCAAGTGACCATCAGGATGAGCCTTGTTTCTGATCTTGTGTTCCTAGAAAAGTGAGTTTTGTTAGCAGTATTGTGTGTTTCCAAATAGCTATAGAAAAGGGTTTTGACTTCTTGCTACAGTGACTAAAGTTTGAGTTAATGGACATACTAAATATCGTGTGTGTGTGTGTGTGTGTGTGTGTGTGTGTGTGTGTGTGTGTGTGTACGGGTGCACATTTTGTTCATGCATATAGAGGCCAGAAGAAAACCTAAAGAGTCATTCCTCTAACACTGTCTATGTAGTTTGTTTTGCTTTGGATTTGGGGTGTGTTTTCTCTCTAAAGATGGGTTCTCACTGCCTTAGGACTCACCAAGTAGGCTGGGCTGGCTAGCTATGGAGCTCAGAGAATGTCCTTTCTCTGCTTCCACAGCACTTGGATGGCTAGTGTGTGCCACCACACCCATTTCTTTCAGATTGGTTCTGAGGATCAAATGCAGGTCCTTATTCTTTCAAGGAAGTAATACACTGAGTGAGCCATCTCCCCAGCCCAAGAGACCATTATTGGACTATTATACATCCTATATAAGAATGAAAACACTGTGTGCTGTATATAAGTAAGACTGTTGTATATCAACTAAAGTGAAATAAAACTTGTAAAGTAACCCATGGGCCAGAAAGCGAAAGGAAATGTTTACCTTGCAGGTTTGTGAGAGGCTAATCAAATCTCTTAAGTGTCTTTGTCCTGGTGGAGGCTGAACGGGCAGTAGCTCTTGCCATCATATTTGTTGCTGCTTTTCCCTGGGTAAGGTGGGATTCTTGCCTCAAAGAACAAAAGTTGATGGGAAATGCTTTAGAGACGTAACCACCCCACTCTTCTCTTTGCCTCTGGCATCTCTGCCTCCCTGTGTTCTCACCCCAGCCTGATAGCTACTTGAGCAGCTGAACACACTCATGCTTACAGAGTACCTACAATGATTGTCTAGTATAACTTCAGTATTTTATGGAGTCTTGGGGGGTATTAAGAACGTGCCACAAATACCTGGGGAAAAATTGGTATGGCTGGAGTCTTCTGGAAGGGAAGGGTTACTAAACTGCAGACCCGTTACATGGTTTTTATGCCTCTAGCCCTTCTGGAATAGGCAGCCAATGACTTGGAGCTCTCCTTCAAATATCTTAGGTGCCTAAAAGGGACAAAATTCAAACATGACAATATTCTTAACAAGCTTAATATGTACTTAAATTTTATGGCAATCTAAGGGATTTTATGCCTTTTCTCCCTGAATAACTATAACTTCTGGCTAAAACTCAATCCGTATCCCTTTCAAAAAAAAGTGCAAGGAATTTTATTAAGAAAACAGAGGGCTTTGAACCTTTGATAATGAAAAATATGACACTTTACCTGAGCAAATTTCAAATGGATCCATTTAAAATGAATTAAGTGGCACTTAACTGGTTTGCAAATTGAGATCTATTTATCTCAGTAAAATGATTAAAGTCTTGATTTATCCCTAAAATTAGCTTTATTATTGCATTTAATTACACTGAAAGATTGTTAAGGACTTGTAGGTTCCCTCTGTCCCTTTAAACTGTACTTTATTCCGACAATAATTGAATATCAGATAGGATAAATTGATTTTTTCCAAAGAATTATGTTTCTAATATTTTCCTCCTTTTTATTGCAGGAACTGAAACAAGTTGAAGAAACAAAAGAAGATCCTGAGAATAGATTATCTGAAATTTCCCTGGAGTCGTTCAATAAATTTAACAGCAATACTGTGATTTTATTAGGAACATCGAAGTCTCCAAGCACGGTTAAAGGACAAGAGGAGGAGGAAGGCCGGAAGACAGACGCGCCATCGGGTGACTCGGCCAAGCCTGGGGTGGACAACGTGGAGTCTCTCAGTGACTCTCTGTATGACAGCTTCTCCTCTTGTGCAAGTCAAGGTTCCCATGATGCCTAGGGGAGCACCCCTCAGTGAGACCTGAGCACAGAGCTGGGGGTGCAGGGAGCACTGACTCCAGAGAAGCTGAAGGCAGCCAGCACACACGAGTTTACTCCCCTAGTGGATTGATAAAGATCGCCGCGACTTACTGTGTTTCATGAGGATTAAAAGCAAAATATGATAGAGAATTCTCAATGTTTGCACTTTTTTTTTTTAGTATTTGTATAAAAGCTGTAAATTTGGGGGGAAGAGAAATTATATTTCTAGGGGGAGAAAGATAGCAATAAAAAGAGTTGGCGCCATGCTCTTGAAATGATGTATTAAGTTTTAGAAGTTGATAATATATTTAAAAAAAAAAACTCCAACTAAGGATTTTGTGAAGTTAATCATCCTGGTCCTCAAATTATTTGTGTGTACACTGTGTCAGTCTGAACATGGGGCCTGCAGAAAAGTTAGAGGGTTGAGGTAATCACTGTCTCTCAGAGTCTCATTTTGATTGACAATTTGAATGGTGGTCCAATTTCCAAATTGCCACTAGAAAGACTGACATTGTAATGCCATCCATTGGTAGTGCTTCTGCTGTGTGCAGAAGGGAGCAAGTCTTAGCAGGCTTCACCCCCAGCATCTTCCATCTTCTCCATTGTATTTCTCTACAATTCTGAGTGTTTGTTGACTTTTTTATTATCTCCCCGCTTTTTTAAATTAAAATCTGGGTACTCTATTTGCCATATCCACTTTATAGAAATAAATGAATGGTTGGTGCTATGAAAATTTCTTACTTTTTAATATCCTTTTTTCTATTAAAGACTGTTTATATGTGAGGATAAATTCTATTTTAAAGGTTACGTGTATTTTTTCTAGACGTGCACTATTTATAATTCCTCCTGTACAGAAGCCTGCAGACCGGGCAGAGTAGAGCTGTGTTTAGGACTTGTGCGGTTGCCTTAGCACACCTGTATCTTTATAGAGTATTGTATGACCAGTGTTATTTTATTTGTGCAATTTGTTGTATTTGGATTTTGTTATCCTAAATTCAAATTGTGTAAAGCATCTTTGTCTTTCAGACTTTAAAAATCCTTCTGTTGTTTCATTTCATTTCGGAATAAAAGTCCTATCACACCCTCTAAGAGCAGAAAAGAACTTTATTCAAGGAGCGATTGGTCCCGTGATTATCTTAATCACATCCCGAGCTTGCTCTGTGAATAGGTTTCCCTGAAGGAATAAATAAGCCGGCCCTTTTTGCTCCTGTAACAGTAATTCGAACAATTGTTAAGATCCACACTGCAGACAAGCAAGTAATGGTCAAAGCATCCCCGTCTCCCCAAGGAGTTAACCCGCTAGAAATGAAAGGAAGGGGGTGGGGGAGAATGAGCCCGAGGCGGCTGTGGACCGATCTCTGCAGAGGAATTACAAGAAAGTCATTTATGCCCCTTCCAGACCCGCTCTGCTGGCAGGGTGGGGAAATAAATGATCATAGCCCAGCCTGAGAGCACTTCCCCTCGGGAGGCACCTCGGGAGAGAGGTAGAGCTTAGCCACGGGGTTCCACTGAGGCTCCCAAATCCGGGGTGGTGGGGGTGGAAATGCGCGGGGTTGGGGGCGGGGGCACCAAGAGCTTCGGTTGCCAGCTCTTTGCACAGCACAGCCTTCTGCAAAGCTCCACCAGGAAGGAAAATTAGCACCGTGGTGTCCCGGGAATATGCAAGGTGGGTCGCTTGGCATTGTCAGAAAGGGGGTTGGGGGCTGGTGGCATAGGAGGGAGGCAACTGATGACCAAGTCCTGGGCGTGCAGAGCGCTGTAAGGAGTGTATACTCATAGCTGGTGGCTTGGGGGAGCTGGCAGCCCCATTCGCTTTTCAGTGAAAGAAAGCACAGATCCCGGTGTCCACTCGCCAGGATGGCTAGGCGACCAGGGCTGTGTCGCTGCATCCTCCAGCGGTGAGAGGATGGTCTGGCCAAGGGAGCCACCTGCGGTGGGGTCACCATCGTACTCGCAGGCATTCTGCCAGAAGATCGGGGTGACCTGTGTTGTGGGTTTCTCCCAGGAAGAGGCGCGGCTGCACCGGACACCCCAGGGAACTAGCGACCATGCAACTTTTCCAGGTGCACGGAAATACCTTTTCACCTTATCCCAGACAGTCACCCAGAGGGTGGTAGGTGATAGAAGACCCCGGGCTGCGTGGGTCTTCTATCACCTACCCAATTGCAGGGGTACTAGTTAGCACCGGGAGGGAACAGAGCACCTGGAAGGGAAAGGTATCCCAGTGTGCCGAGACCCAGCCCAGCACTCGGATCTCCGAGTTCTCACAGGACAGGTCCTGGCCTGGCGGCACCTGCTGCGCCCTAGTCACCTCTGTATTCCTAACCTCTCTAAATTACTACTCCCGAGCCCTGCAGGCTCTCCTTTCCAAGGAACTGGAGGAGGTAGGCTAAAAGGGTAGCAGAAGGGGGTGGGGACAGTAGAGAGACAGTCCCAGCCTTCCCCGCCCTCCACCCCCACCACAACTCAGCAGCCGTCACGTGGTACCCGGAGTGGGAGGGGTGGGGGCAGAAGAGGCGAGACTTTTTTGGGTGCCTGGGATCGCCAGTAGTTCTTCAAGCCTCAGCAGCCAACTCCTCCGGAGGCGCTGCGCTCCGCCCCAGGGAGCGCGAACCCGAGGAGCCTGGGACCAGCCTCTGGGAGCCCCGGGCTCGGGCGATGCGGGCGCCGCGGGCGACACCTGCGGCTCCTCTCGGTGGCAGCCGTCGCCTGGGCGGCAGCAGCGCAAACCTCGGCAGCTACAGACGCTGCGGCCCGGACAGCCTCCGCTGCTGTCGCCTCCGCTGCGGTCTCGGTCTCTGATGCTCCTGCCCGCTCCCGGCCCTGCCGATCCGGGAGGATGTGGGTTCTCGGCATCGCAGCAACTTTTTGCGGATTGTTCTGGCTTCCAGGTAAGAAGACGGAGAGGCCAGCAACCTGGCCAGACACGCTCATGCCATCTCTCCGCGTGCGTCCCTGCTCTAACCCCCCAGTGCGCCCATCTGGGGTCCGCGCTGCGCTGGGGCTACCCGGCGGGAGTTTGGTGCTGGAAACTGAGACCCAGAGGCGCCAGACTGGGACTCTCTCCAAGTCCCGCGCTGCAGGAGAGCGGCAGATTGGCACGACTCTCAGCTGCAGCTGCTTGGGGTACACAGTCGGGGATGCAGAGCTGGGAGTGGGGAGGGTCCTTGAGCCAGGCAAGAAGGGAAAGGGGGAGACAAACCTCTAACCTACTCAAGTTATCAAGTGTTTGTGGCCACCTAAGGGAGCGACGACGCGGACAGGTGAGCGACACACCGGACAACCTACAGCTAGGGGCGGGGGACGGCCCTCCCAGGCTGAGTTATCTGTGCTCTGCGTATGATCCGTGGGGTGCTAGGAAGGGACACACTGTGAGCGCTGGACATGGAGTCCAAAGAGAAGCTCCCAGATCGGAGGAGAGCAACCAGGCAGATATGGTAAGGCTGGACCTAGTCCCTGATCATGGACTCTAAGCTATTAGAGTTTGTTTTTGTTTTTTTTCCCCCAACAGCCATGTTTTTTATTTTTTGTTTTTAAGGGGCAGGGGGATGGAGAAGCCAGGTCTAAAGGGACTGTAGTGTAGCGGTCCCGGGAAGGGCGAGCACACACACACACACACACACACACACACACACACACACACACACACCACGTGCACACACCATATACTCGCCCACCCTCAGCAGCTGCTCCCCTCACTGATCACAAGAAGAGACTCCGAACCAGCCGGAGGACTTGAGGCTCATGGACACTTGGCATGCAGCGCCTCCTTTCAGGTTGCAGGGTGGTCGCTAGGAAGCCTCGGAGCCCCAGCCTATGAATGCTGACTTCCAAGATTAAATAAATAAAACCGAAAAGGCGTCAGCGAATGCAATTATGAATGGTGCCAAAATAGTAATTAACCAATTTGTAACCAATTAGCAATTAGGCTCAGACAGGAGCTGAAGCTTGAATCCTGGGGTTTTGACCTCTCACCCTTCCCTTTGCAACAACTTGAAGAAAAGCATGAGGGGTGTTACAGGAGCTGTTTGTGTCTTGAGAAGGAATTTAGGGTCTCCGGCAGGGCTTTATCCTGCTAGGAACCGGTGCCGCCGCCCCCTGCCGGCTTCAGGCGCTGCCAGCCCTACTGAAGATCCAGAGGCCAAAAGCCCTCGCTGTCTGGGGCTGTACATGGTGATACAGCCCAGCCAGGGTGTGCTCTGTGCAAGCCAGATCTTAACTAGTGCTTCTGAACCCCACCTCATCTGCCCCGCAGGGCTGGCGCTGCAAATTCAGTGCTACCAGTGTGAAGAATTCCAGCTGAACAACGACTGCTCGTCCCCTGAGTTCATCGTAAATTGCACCGTGAACGTTCAAGACATGTGTCAGAAAGAAGTGATGGAGCAAAGTGCGGGTAAGCTGGGCCGCTCTTTCCCCCTCCAACCGCCATCTAGGGCTGGGGATAGAGGGTGTTAAATTACACAGGAAAAGACACTGACTGATTCGACATACGTGCGTGCATGTGCGTGCACGCACGCGCGCACATGTGCGAACACACACACACATACACACACTGGTTAGCAGATTTACTTTTTACAGTTCTGGGAAAACGAAGAGTTGGAAGTTACTTTAACCTCATTAGAGTTAATTACCAGGGCTTCTCCCCAAGGGATTCCGGAGGAGAAGTCATTGTAAATCAGTAGCTTGCTTTCTTTTTTTTTTTTTTCTTTCTTTCTTTTTTTTCTTTTTCTTTTTTTTTTTTTTTTTTTTTTTTTTTAATTTACTCCCTTCACCTTCCTGGACTAAAAAGCTGATCAGGGTGGTGAAAAAAAAAAAAATATATGGATAACTGGTCCCAGCTCCAGCAGCTAGACAGTAGCCTGTGAGCGATGTCAGCCTGAAATATGAAGCTACTTCAAGTTCCCAGAGGTCAGAACTTGAAAAATGTGTTTTGTCAGAGCGCCGCACCATATTTCTTTGAAGAACACTATAGGATCTTTATTTAATTTTAGAACTAATGCATCAAATTCTAGGCACAAATTGCCAAGATCTTTCACGGGGAGGGTTATCCCCCACCCCCACCCCCAGCAGCTTAGCTATTGGCTATCTGAGCAAAGAGCCTGGATGTTATGCAGCGGAAGAAGGGAGTTAGATGGAACAGACTTCACTCTAGCTCATAAGTCTGTTGAGAGGTGGAATCCCACCCACCCTGGAGTTAGAATTAAAAACTCACCCCCAAAATGGAACCAGAACTTTGAGAAAATAAAGGAAGCCATGGCTTTGATTCCAAGGTCAAGTAGAGATTTTGCTGCTTAAAGGCTGTTGGAAAGAAAGGAAATACCATCTTGGGATGAATGACATTGAGTGAGCCTTGTTCCTTTTCAGCCCAACAAGGTGCCCACAGAGCTCCATGGGGGGATTAGAACAATTGATTCACCTAACTCTCTGGCAAAACAATGCAGGGGGCTAGCACTGAAGACAGCACCTTGGCAAAGCAGTTTCCTCATGGGTAGGGTTTGGAGGTATCTTGTGAACGTCTTGGTTGCTTAGGGAGCATATCTGCCAGCCCTCCATAACACTGGGCTATGATGTGAGCGTATGTGTGTTATTTTTTGTATGTGTGTGTGTGTAGTATGCATGTATGCATGCATACACATTCACATTTGTTGGCACATGACTATATGTAGGTGCACACACACACTTTTTTTGACATGTTATGTGTATGTGGTATTCGTGCCTGTGGAGATACATATTGGCATGTACGGAGACCAGAGGTTGATATCCTTGTCTTCCTTGATTGTGCTCCATCTTATATATTGAGGCAGAGTCTTTTACTTGAACCCAGAGCTCACCAATTCTAACTAGACCACTTGCTCCAAAGATCCCAGATCTCTGGCTCCTGCAGCCGGGGTTACAAGCAGGCATCTCACTTGCCCTGCTGACATTTACATGCGTGTTTGGGATCTGAACTCTGGTCCTTACACTTGCCTGGCACGCACTTCATCTGCTGAACCGTCTCCCTAAACCCTTTGTGGATGGCTGTATAGGCTGCTTCGTAGTGCATTATTGGCTCAAGGGTGGGTACCTTGTCCCCAAATCACTCCTGTGAGAAGTCTGAGATACAACTGCTCTCAAGAATGATGTACCCTCCCCCTCCAAAACCAGCAAGCATTGTTTTAGCATCTGGTATTCCTGCTATTAAAAACAGTAGGACAACACAAAAATTAATGATGATTCTACAGCTAAGATGGATGTGCATTATTTTTGTATGAGTGGTTTTCTTTGCACTGTATTTTACCTGAGCCAAGCATTTCTTGTTCTTTGAGTATCTGCAACCCTCTTCCATGAGATAGGTTTGAGGCAGACATGATGGGAGATATTTGCATGCCTTAAGAAATTCTTCAGGATCCTCAAAACCGCTGCTTTGTGTTTCACAAGCTGGAATGTGACTGAGAAAAGCAGTTATCAATCTGATGTATTCTCAGAAGGGTGCTTCGGAGAAACACCTCTTGTCTATGTATACCTCCAAGATGACGGTGACACACTCCCTTTTGAAGTGCTGTTTTTCATCTTGCTTCATCCTCTTCTACAAATCATACTATAGAAAAGCAGAGCGCACCTTATTACTTCCGTATTGCCCACAGAAAGCTACCAGCGAGTCCTGAAGGAAGTCCCTGGTTTAGGGTGCTTGTTGTTTAGTAACACAGTCAAGTTGCTTCCTGTCTCCAAACAAGGGGTCAATGGCCACAGGGTACAGGACATAGACCACAGGTCTAAATATGAAGAAAAACTAAGATCAAAGCAGTGTGTGTGTGTGTGTGTGTGTGTGTGTGTGTGTGTGTGTGTGTTTCTGAGAGTGTGTGTGGCATATGTATGTGTATGCTCTATATGCATGTGTTTTATGTGTATATTCACAACACATGTACATATACGAGGGTGCACACACTCATGAAGGAGCAGGTGGAAGCCAGGTGGACATCCAGCTCTATCACACCCCACTTTTTCCCTTAACACAAGGTTTCTCACTGATTGTGGAGCTAGTCGGGCAACCAGCAAGCTTCAGAGATTCTCTTGTCTCAGTCCCCCGTAGCATTAGGGTTGCAAGCACGCACGGCCACACACTTAGCTTTTTTTTTAACTTGGATGCTGGGATCTGAACTCAGGTCTTCATCTTGTGCAGCAAACACTCTTCCTCACTAACCTCCAGTATCCCCAGCCCCAATCCTGATGTCTAGAGAAACAGAAGCAATTGATGGATCCAATGGAAAACTGGTCATGGGGAGTATCTCAGTTTTTGCTCGTTTGTTTCCTATAACAGAATAGACTGACAAAATTAACTGAAGGCAGAGTTGATTTTTAGCTCACAGTTCAAGGTACAGTCCACTCGGTCACAGCCACAGCAGCAGGAGCTGGAGGGAACTGGTCATCTCGCACACACTCGGAACAGAGCTGGTGCTCTGCTGTTCTCCGTGATTACAGTCCAGAGACGCAGTCAGGGACACAGTCAGGAACACTCGTGACTAAGGTGTCTCTTTCCATGTAAAGTGACACAAAGATAACCCCCCACAGCCGTGCCCAGGGGCCCTGTCTGTTGAATGATTCTAGATCCCATCAGGTTGACACTAACCATCACAGGGGTGCATATTAGTCATAAATGAATGCAAGGCATTCGGAGCAGGAATTTGTTGGTAGCCTGGCAGATGTGGTTACTGTTTCCATTGGTGGTGCTTGCTTATTTTTTATTTATTTATTTATTTCCCTCAACAGAAAGCAACGTCTTGGGACTGTTATCTTGAAGGCATTCCATATTAAATTTCATGTAATCGTTCTAGACCAGTCAGTTTGATTTTTTTGCCAACAAGGACGGGGAACAACTTTGGTTGCTAAGTGACCACAGTATAATAAAACTGTGGCAACATGAACTAACTTCCATAGTAGGTACTGTGTGTTTGGCTCAGCCCTTAGCACTAGCTAAGGTGGTGTCTCAGGAAACGGGAGCCTCTTCATGATGACTGATTTCCTATACTTCAACCAGATGGCCTGGGATTGCATTGCTTTGCCAAGTTCACCCCCAGAAAGAAAGCAGGGCCTGTTAAGTGGTCCCGTTAGGAATCGAAGTCTGAATTCCTTCATAACATAGACTATGCTGAGACTCTTAGTGCATCAGAGTGGAAGAGGCTCAGAGATTCTAACCTAAGAGCATCTAGGTGTCTTCCTGGAGTTCTGTTGGGCTTCACTTGACTGGCCCCTTCCCCTTGAAGATGCTCATTCTCTGCGTCTGTGGTCTATGTGGCCATGGGTCATTTCTAAACTCTTCCAGAGACTGTGGGATGCTCCACGTTGAGGTACTGATTGGGCTACCCTTTCTATGTTATAAAGAAACAAAAGAACATCTTTACAAAGTTGTATGTCTGGCCCTAGTCCAGCAGCCCATTGTGACTCTGTAGCTCTTGACATGTGCTTCCTGACCAAACGCATTTGCTGCAACGCCCCCGTCAGCCTCTGACAGAGGGGAATGTACCACCATATACACCCGAGAAGATAACTTGGGCAAAATTCTAAGGACTGAGGCGATTTATTTATTTATTTATTTCTGTCAAGTTCATCTGGCAGGCCAAGTGGACAGACCACAAGGTGGATATTGAAAGAATCAGAAAGTCAACGGGGAGGAATTTCAAAGTTTTGAGTGTCCTGTGGACTGGCATTTTTCAATAGCTATAGAAATACCAAGGCTTTAAACAGACTAAGAAATCTTAATGAACCAACCTAACCTGACATTAAGCAGTAATGAAAGACAATCTCCCTGCCTGCCCCATCCCCCAGTACCAGCAATATGATATGTCCAGGCCTCCAGCTGGTCTTTCCTGGCTTAAGTCTGCAAACCCAGCTCTTACGAATTCTGAGGAAGGTAAATTTAATTTCCATGGAGGTATACTTAAAATTAACCTTTGCCTGTCCTCTAGAGAGGTGCTCCGGCTAGGATCTGAAGTTATTTCATGATGCTCTTTTCCCCTTGGTCATTTCTGGAATAATAAACTGTGGGCTGTGAGGAAGAGAAGTTTCCTTGTCCTTCCTAATTGATGGTTAAACGCTTTCATGACTAATGACTCTCTACCAGCTCTGCTCTTCATGGGCTGGTGTTTCTAAGCAGCGTCCTTGAGAATCACATTTATTTTGCTTATTTATCATTGCATTCCATAAAAATATTTCAAATATTGATTTTCATTTCAGAAGAGGCGCCTCCCCCCAACCTTCCAGTATGAATTTTTAAACCAGGATATAAAGAATACGAATTTGCATTTGTTTGACAGTGCAATCTTGTAATTAGAGTTTTTCCTCTTGACTAGATACAGTGAAAGGGGCATAATTTAATTTTTATAGACTAGCCAATTTCTGCCCTTCCTAAAATATAGC